AAAATATATAAATTGAAACAACATTGGTGTTAATACAGTATGATAAAAATAACGACACAATCATGTTAACGAAATTGAAAATGAAAGAAAAGAAATAAAGAAATAAAGCTGATAAACCACGAAATTCGATAAAAATAAATAGAAATAACATTACATTAACACCGATAATGCTATTTTTATGATTATGAAATGATAAAATAAAAACAAAACAGTGAAAAACATCACTGGAATAAAATAGAAATAATAGTAATTCTTCATTCAACAGTATTTAAAGAAGATGAAAAAGCTATAAAATAACAAAACATGTTTGGAATTAAAGATAGAAAAAAATATGGAATGAAAATACCAGAAAAGTTTTGTGGAATAGCTGATGAATGTTTTTCTGGATGTAATAATCTTAGGCAAATTAATATACCATCAAATATTGAATCAATAGGAGACTCTTGTTTTTCGGAATGTACATCATTAACAACAATTAATATACCAACAAGTGTTAGTGAAATAGGAGATGAATGTTTTAGTAGATGTACATTATTAAAATCAATTACTATTCCATCAAGTATAAGTAAATTAGGATATGGATGTTTTTCGGAGTGTTCATCATTAACAACAATTAATATACCAACAAGTGTAATTGAAATAGAAAGGAGATGTTTTAATGAATGTAAGTCATTAAGAACAATTGCTATACCAACAAGTGTAGTTGAAATAGGAGACAATTGTTTTAATGAATGTAAAATATTAACATCAATTACGATACCAACAAGTGTAAGTAAAATAGGGGATGGTTGTTTTTCAGAATGTTCATCATTAAGAATAATTTCTATATCTACAAGTGTAATTGAAATAGGATATGGATGTTTTAATGAATGTTCATCATTAAAAACAATTAATATACCAACAAGTACAAGTAAAATAGGAGACAATTGCTTTGATGGATGTAAAACATTACAATCAATTGACATACCAACAAGTGTAAGTAAATTAGGAGATGGATGTTTTTCAGAATGTTCATCATTAGACTCAATTACTATACCAACAAGTATAAGTAAATTAGGAAATAATTGTTTTAGAGAGTGTTCATCATTACAATCAATTGACATACCAACAAGTGTAAGTAAAATAGGATATAATTGTTTTTCTGGATGTACAAGATTAAAAACGATTACTATATTCACAAGTGTTAGTAAAATAGGAAGTTCTTGTTTTTATGGATGCTCATCATTAACAACAATTAGTATAGAAGATGTAAAATATATAAGTGAAGAAAGAATATTTATGAATGAAGCAGTGTTAATTAGTATTGAAATACCAAAGAATTTAAAAACAATAAATGGAAAGAAGATTGAAAAGAAAGATATTAATGAATTTATTATTCCATCAACAATCACTAAAATAGGAAATGGTTGTTTTGAAGAATGTGAATCATTAAAATCAATTACTATACCAACAAGTGTTAGTGAATTAGGAAATGATTGTTTTGAAGAATGTGAATCATTAACAACAATTAATATACCAACAAGTGTTAGTGAACTAGGAGATAGTTGTTTTAGTTCTTGTTCATTATTAACGTCAATTAATATACCAACAAGCGTTAGTAAAATAGGAAATAGTTGTTTTTATGGATGTACAAGACTAAGAACGATTAATATACCAACAAATGTTAGTGAACTGGGAAATAGTTGTTTTGATGGATGTTCGTCATTAACATCAATTAATATTCCATCAAGTGTAATTGAAATAGGAGATTGGTGTTTTTCAGAATGTAAGTCATTAAGAACAATTACTATACCAACAAGTGTAATTGAAATAGGAGGGTGGTGTTTTAATGAATGTAAATCATTAACATCAATTAATATATCCACAAGTGTTATTGAAATAGGAGATAATTGTTTTGATGGATGTCCGAATGAGTTGAAAAAGAATGAGGTATTAAGAAAGATATATTATAAAGATGACTGTGTCATTGTTTAAGTGAAGGAAATTAACCTAAAATAATTGAATTTTAAAATAAGAAATAAAGAATAAAATAAGAAAAGAAAATAAAGATATAATAAAAATTAAGAAGAAAATAATAAAGAGAAATTATAAGAATATAAACAAAATAATAAAATAAATATACAAAATGAATATAAATGAAAAAAAAAGAATAACAATAATATAATCAAATAAATAATATAATAAGAAATAGAAATGAATTTTGTTTTATTAATCGTTTAAAATTGAAAATATAAAAAGAAATAAAGAAATGATTAACACATTGATAAATTAAATGAATAACATATTATTCCAATTCAATTAATATTATTTATTTTAAATATCATCATTTTTCATTATTCTTTTCATACAAAGAAAGACAAATAAAATAACATTAAAGAAATAATAAAATGGCAATATTTCATAACTAAAAAGTAGAAAAGAATAAACATAAAAAGAAAATATATAAAACAGATATATCAAGATATAAAGAAGTATTTATTAATTTATATGATATATACTCAAATAAAAAAAAAAATGATTGAAATAATTAATTCTATTTTTCAATTGAAATTCGTTGTATTTTGTGAATGAAGAAATAAACAAAGAAGAAAATCAAATAGAAACAATATAATATTATTTAAATAAGAATAAATGTATGATAATTGTTATTTAAATTAAAATTTGTTTATACATATGATTTAAAGTTCATTAAGCAATTTTAATATTGAAAAGAATAATTAAAAATAAGTGATAAACCAAATTCAAACATAAAGAAGTTAAATGATTTGTGTATGTTGCTGATAATCATTTTCACGAAGAATGTAATTAAATGATAATAAAAATTAAAGATAGTGATAATTGTACAAAGGTCTAAGATTAAAATAAGTTATACTAACAATAGTTTTAACGAAAAAAGAATTTCTGGTAACCGTCAACAATTTGTTAAAGTTATATCTGATACACTTCAATTAAAATACTTTTGAAATGTGTGTGTATATTATATGAATAGTTATCAAAAGAAGAATATTTTAAAAGATAAAAACAAAAAGAGTTGAATAAACTTATTAAACAAAAGAAAACACTGATATTCAATGTATTTTATACATTCACAATAAAATAAAAGATAAAACAAAAAGAGAAATTGAAAGAAAAAAATAATAAAAAGTGAATGTGATAGAATCAAGTTGTGATTATTGATGTTGTTAATTTCTTATCATTGAATATTCAAGATACACTTCCCACATATCTTCAAATTTTCTTTCGTTTAAACAATACTTAATCCACTTATTTCCATTGTTATTATTAAAATACATATGATGATAAAAATGAATGAAATGATTCATATAATGTTTAGTATAATGATTACTGTATCTCTGTCAATTCAATTATTACATATTTTACACACTCTTCTATCATTTATATTTATTTATTGATATATTTTTCTTTTTTGTTATTATTTTTAACATCTTTGTGACATTTCATGACTTTCATTTTTTAGTCGAAAGAAAAGAATTAAAAAATAAATTGAAAAGAATTGAAATAAAAATGACAATATTTTTATACATCACATTTATTACCCCTTCAATGTTATTATAATTTCAGCACAATGATGTTTGAAATGATGAAACAAAGAAATAGTATTAACAATAAAAATAAAAGAATAAATAAGAGAGAAAATAGAATGAAATAAGTCAATTGATTTTATCTATTTTTAATTTAAAGAAATTCAAGTCAACAAAAAATAGACAAAAAGGAATGATTAAGAAGCAATTATCAATGTATTTTTACAATGAAGAAAATTTTATTGTAACTTTATTTCATGAATATGCAATTGACGATAAAAAATATACCGAAATAAAAATAAATAAAACGAAGTGAAATATTAAAAACGGTGTTTAGTATCGAAACAAATGATGTTTATGAGAAATAACCAATCAGAAAAGAAGTACTACTTTTAAACAAATAACCTATTTTGACGAATGGTATGTATTTAAACAAGAAAATAAACTTATTAATCATTCAATGTCAAGAGTAGTAGTTAGATTTATTTTAAATGGACAATGCGTTGCAACTAAACCACTAAATTCACAAGACAAATTGAAAACAGCAAGAGAGAAAATAAAAGAAAAGATGTCTGACTCTCAATACTTTTTAACAAAAGACGGAGATATAATTGATAAGAATGATGAAGAGTGTTTTACTGTAGGAGATGTAATTGATGAAAAAAGAGTAATAAATATTAAAGGAATAGAAGATAAAAAAGAAGTAAGAATAAAGATAAATGATAAGATAATTACTACTATTGAAATGGATACTAAAACACCATTAAGTGATGTTAGAAAAATAGTTCAAAACATTCCAGATTCAGCATATTTCTATACACTTGACAATGATAAAATTGAAAGAAATACTGAAGAAGAATTTATAGTAGAAGACATAATAAATAATGATGAAATTATTCTTAAAGAAGAAAAAGAAAATATACCAGAAATCAATGATATAACAATTGGAATATGTTTGAATGGAAAACCAAAGATAAAAAAGCAATTCAACAAGAATATTTCTCTTTCAGATGTTAGAAAAGAAATTGAAAGACTACAACAAATTCCGAAAAGGTTTGAATTTGAAGATCAAGAAGGATTTAAAATATCAAGTGATGATGAACAATCTTTACAATTAACATCTATTTTGCATGATAACAAGATCAATATAACAACATTGACAGAAGACATAATAAATAATACATTAACTAATGTTTCACCCAATAAAACAACAACACAGTGCACTCCACTAATTAATAATTGTAACTATGGTTTCCAAAATACTTCACAAAATACTACAGATGTGTCTGAACCGAATGTTCCAATTGAAGGAAGTATAAGATTGGAAAGTCATGAAAATGGAAAATTGAAAATATATTTATATCCAAATCAACCATTTAATCAAAAAGATGAGAATGATGCAATTGGTATTCTAGTTGTTGGTCAAACAGGAAGTGGAAAAACTACATTATTGAATAGTTTTGTAAATGCATTATATGGAATAAAAATAACAGATGACTTTAGATATATAATTATAAATGAAGATAATTTAGAACAACGTAAAGATCAATCTAAAAGTCAAACAAGTCAAGTAACAATTTATAATATTAAAAGAACAAAAAGAACACCACCAATCAAAATAATAGATACACCAAGATTTGGAGATACAAGAGGAATTGCTTATGATATGGAAATTACTAAACAAATAAAAGAAGCATTTGAAAATAAAGTATTAGATTTAAATGCTATTTGTTTTGTTGCACAATCAAGTAATGTGAGGCTAACACTAAGTCAACAGTATATATTTGGGAATATTATCAACTTATTTGGGAAAGATGTTAAAAAGAATTTTATTGCAATGCTTACATTCTGTGATGGTAAAACACCACAAATTATAAATGCATTACAATCAAAAGAATGTATTTTCAGTACAATTATTCCAGAAATAGATGAACCGTGGTATTTAAAATTTAATAATTCAGCTATTTATGATGATAATACAGAAGATGAATTTACACAAATGTTTTGGAAATTAGGAATGAAGAATTTTGATGATTTTATATCAAAATTACTAAAACTACCAAGAAAATCATTAGAGAAATCAAGAGAAGTGTTGAAGAGAAGAGAGCGTATTAAGGCACGAATTGAAGACTTAAAAACAACATTAAATAGTCAGTTGGCAAAAATGAACGAAATAAAACAGATCTACAAACAATTGGATGAAAATCGAGAAAAAGTTAAAAAAAATGAAAACTTTACTTTAACTACACAAGTAGAAGTACAAAAAAAGGTTGACTTACAACCAGGAGTATATGCAACAAATTGTAATAAATGTCATAAAACATGTCATCATCCATGTCATGTTCCATTTTTTATTTCAGCATTTACAAACAGATTTTGTACATGCATTGAAAACAAACGTTGTACAACATGTGGTTGTCATCATACAGAACATATAAACTCTGGATATAGATATGAGAATTTAATAGAGACAAAAGAAGAAACATTAGAAGATGTGTATAAAAGATATAGTGAAGGTAAACAAGGTATGGCTAGTGCAGAGAGTATGTTAATAAGGTTAGAAGAAGACTATTATAAAATTCGAATGGAATGTTATGACCAACAACAAGAAATTATTGATTGTGTTAATACATTATCTGAAATTGCATTAAATAAGAAAGTGACGAGTTCAAATGAATATTTAGACATGTTGATTAAAACAGAAATTGAAGAAAAGAAACAAGGATATGAAGCAAGAGTTGAAGGATATAAAGAACTTAAAAAAACGAATGAAATGATAGAAGATATTATGAAAAATTCAACAACAAAAAAGAGTAAAGAAGAAATTAATGCAGAAGTTAAAAGAAGAATGAAAGAAGAAGAAAAAAAAACAAGAGTTAAAACAATGAGACTTTTTCTTGGTAAAACCAAATAACTAAAAGAAATGAAAGTTTTAATTAACTGGTTTTAAAAACAATTTTTTTTAATTAAGGAATAAAATTGATAATTAATATTCATTATTCTCCATTGACAATACCAAACTATTTTGTTTTCAATCAAATTCACTCAATATGTTTGAATGAATAGAATAAATCAAATCAACCATCTTGTTGTTAAATACATTGTTTTAATATCACTAATAATGTCATTTTCAAAAGTTCACCATTTAATTAACTCTGCTTTTGATTGATATATCTTTCATTATATTTGTATAGTGAATATCATTTTTATTCTTTATTATTAGTTTTCTTTATTACCATTTCATAATATTTCTTCTAATTATTTTGTTTATAACTATAAATCAAATTATTTGTTTCTTTTATCTGATTTTATTCTTTTTTTCTCAGTCTTCTCAGTATTTCTTTATTTTTCTTTATTTTATCCATTCTTATAAACTTTCTATTTCTTCTTTCTATTATGTCTTTTATATTTATGTTTTATGTCTTTAGGCTATGTTATTTTTTCGTACATTATTTGATTAATTGTATCTCAATCATCAATGAATAATATAAAAATTGAAATGAAACATCTTAAAAGTAATTGTAAAAGAACTAAATTTGAAATTGTCTTTCAATGTGATGAATCAACAATGAAAATGATGTTTTAATGAATGTGTGAGACAAAATAGCAATTCAAATTATTCTCTTATTATTTTGTTGATAATTCATTATGTTAATTGATTGTTTCACAAATAAATACATCAAGAAGGACATCATCCGAAACAATCATCAAAAGATGAAATATTTCATTTGTTTGTGTTTTTATTGTATATTGAAATACATAATGAAATAAAAATACTATAAAACACTTGAATAATCATGATTGAAAAGAAATGTGTAAAATAATATGTTCAGAACATGATTTAAAATAATGTGTTAATTAATGAAACATATAAAATTGAATATATTAAATGAAATTATAAAAGTAATGAATGAGAAGTAAGAGAAGTTGTTGAAGATAGAAATAAAATTAATTAAGAAAGAAATTGACAAAAAGACATCTTATATTTCATTGATATTGATTTAATAAATTATTCTCTCAAAAATATCTCTAAATCAATCAGAATCAATAAATGTTATATAATCATGATGATAATAAAATACAATTTCATTTTTCTTAATTAAAAGAATTCAAAAATAAACAATAAATGACAAATTAATTACAATAATGCCAATTGAAATTATATGTTAAACATCATTTATAAAGATAGACAGACATTTATATATATATATTTAATTTTTTTGTGTAAAACATAAATCAAACTAAACAACAAATATATAAAATCAAGTAATGTGTTTGTTATAATGTTTTATTTATAGAAGAAATAGAAAATAGAAATGTTGTTATTTAATAATATCAATAATACTAATTTTACAAAATTACTAATGAAAGATATCGAAATAATTTAAATTAAACAATGAAGCAGTGTTGTTAAAGACATTTTTATTTAATAATTAATGATAAAAAAGTGAATTAAGGTAGTTTATGATACTTTCTTTCTATCTATCATTTTACATATTTCATTTCAATATATTATAATACTCTTCTTTGAACAACGATAAAATAAATGTCATAGTATTCAAATGAATGAAAAAATAAAGAATAACGTAGAAATGAATATTCAAAAAAATGAGATGGAAAATGATAAATAAATACAAATCAAAAAGAAAATAATCAATGTTTTGATTATTATGAATAATAAGAATAAGATATTCAATGTTAAAAATAAGAATAATATTCAATGAAATATTGTTAAATTGAAATAAACAGAAAATTCAAATATAATCACATTATTTTAAATATTGATAATAATGAAGAAACAAATAGATATTACTCATTTAGAATATGAAGTTATAGATGAATAAAATAAATGTCAATGAATTTGTTGATATTGATTGATTTAATATGTATAAAATTTACTACAAATTTCATCAACAAGTAATGATACAATAATTTATAATTTCATTAATAATAGAAACGATGAATAATAATGAAGAATCAATATAAATTTAATTAAATTCTTTTTTTAATAAATAGCAATATTAATCAATTTATAATGATAATTATGAAATGAAACAAAGATAATTTGATAAAAATAGCAAAGAAAAAATGCATCTAAATAATTTACAAAAATGAAAAAAAGATGCAAAATAATTTGCATCCATAGAATTTTCCATTTATTATATTTTGCTCGTAAAATAAATAAAAAATATGATAAATACAGAATACGTAAATATTTATGTTTATATTTTATAATCATTTTGTATGAAATATTAATGAAATAGATGATTTGATGAATCATATTTAATTATTTTTATTCTTTTTATTCTTTTATTTATATGTTATTTTTATATATTTATTTTTATATATTTATTTTTATATTTATATTATTTATATCATTGTATTCTTCTTATTATCTCTATATTATTATATTATTATATTATTCTTATTTTATGTTTTTATGTTTATATTATTTAGATTTTCTTATTGTTATTCTTTTCTATTTAGATGTATTTGTTTATTTGAATATTCATCTTATTCATCTTTTATATTATTATCATTTATATCTATTTTCAATTTATATTTATTCTCTTTTGATTTATATTAATATTAATTTTATCTTTTATACTTTCAATTTATTATTATATCATTTATTATCATTTCTCGTTTTATTTATCATTTATTCTTATTATTCTTTTGTTTTTATATTCTATATCATATATTCATATCATTTTCATTTATATTTTATCACTTATTATATATTATAATAATAACATAACACATATGATTGAATATATAATAAACATCATAATGAAATTATACATATAAATAATAAACATAAAAATAGTAAAATATTTTTCATTAATAAAATAATATTAATTATTTTACAACATTAAATTAGACACTTTTATTTCATATTTCTAATTTTTAAAATAAAAATACACTTTTTATTTCTTCTTTTCTTCTTTTATTATCTCTTTGTGATTTATTATTTTTATATTATTTTTATATTCTCTATTTTCTACTTTTATTCTTTCTTCATCTTCTTCTACTTCTTAATTTATTTTTATTCTTTTATATCATTCATTCTCTTCTTTTTCAATTATTTGCTTTTTTCGTTGCCAATATAATTCAATAAAATATTCTTCTAAGTATCGCATAAATATAACTTCAATACAAGAATATAAATAAATGTCTTTTATATTTAGTTTGTTATAATATACTTTTATGTGTCTTTGTGATCTTATTATTCAATAATTATTTCATCTTTTTAATCTTTTAATTTCTTCTTTTCATTTTAGTTTATTATCATTATATTTTAACATCATTACAATTAAAAAGATTCAATATGCGAGACACAACAAATATTATGAAAACAAATAACAAAAGAAAGAGAAATTCATACCAGCCAAGAAATATAAATGATAGAAAAATGAATGAATAAGTATTATCTGTATTGACAGAAATACTTCATTTATATCATTAATAACTACAATAATCATAACCATAACTATCATCAAATCAATTACATCAATAGTTATATGATTCATTTCACACATTAATTCAATCATAGTCATCATCATAAATATTTTAACAACATTTTCAATCAAAACAGATATTATCAAAATATAAATAAATATCATAATAACACTCAAAGAATGTATAAACAATATCAAAATAAAACTCAAAACAGAAATAAAAGAAAAGAAATGATAAAAATACAAAATCAAGAATAATAGAAAAGACTCTTTGAATAAGAAATTAAAATCATTGCACAACAAGAAATATATGAAATTAAGAAAAATAAGAGTAAAGAATATACATTATCAACAATATGGTGAAGATGGTATTTTCTTGAATGAGAAAAAGAAGTTGAAAAGAAGAAGATGATAAACAAAAGAGTCTAATTGAATAGATGATAAAATAATAAATGATTAAAGAAGATAAATAAGAGAAAGATATTTGAAGAATAAGAGAATAGATATGAAGAAGAGGAAAATGCAAATAAAATAATAAAATAATAAAGAAATAGAGAAAATAAAGAAGAGAATAGAAAAAGAACAAAATTATTAATAAATTAACGAAAAGATTGTGGTATTAAAGAAGAAATAAGAGAATGAGATAAACAATTATGTGATAGAAGTATTTAAATAACATGGTTACTCTGAAAAGAAAGTATCAGAAGTAAACAATCCATCACAATAATTATACTTCAGGAAATATAAAATATCTAAATTAGAAAATGAAAACACACCAGAATAAAGATGAAGTAAATTTGAGTATAACATACTCATCTGAAACGCAAATATGAATAACATTTCAATTAATGTTGTAATAGTTAGTGTAATAACAACAAGTGAAGATGAATTTCAAAAAGAAAGTTAACGAAGAAATCCAATAAAGAGATGAAAGTCAACATAAGAAAATAACCACATTTTTATTAGAATATCAAAACACAATTGAATAAAAAGAAGAAAATTTAACAAATTATAAATGATTTTCATTACGATTATTTGAAAGAAAAATAAAGTAACAAGTAAAAAATCAATAGAAAGATTAATACAAGAAAATGAAAATAAATGAGAATAAGAATATATTCAAAATAAAAAGAGAAATAAATATAAGAAAAGAATAAAACAATAATAACAAGTAATGAATTATAAGAATAAAAAGAATAAGAATGATAACGAAGAAATGAAAGAATATGAAGATGTATATTTCATTAATTATTATGACATTGTAATAAATTACATCATTTCATTAATATCATCTTTCTATTTCTTTTATTATTCATTATATTGTTGTTTATTATATTTATATTCATATTGTAGTTTCAACCATTATCATCATTAATATTAATAAACATGAAAGAAGTCAAAGAAATATAGAAAGAATAATATATTCAAAATATGTAGATTAAGTAAATTGTTCATT